ATATTGAAAGTTCTTGGCTCTTAATTTAACCTAATATATTACAGTGGTTAGAAGTTCCTGTCTACATCCACAGGGAAAATAGATATGAATTGGATGTTTTTGAATCGTAACACAATGTAATATGCTAGATGCTGATACTGTATGTATAAGGATACAATCCCTGTCCCTGAAAGATTGCTTAAAATTACAAGTAGCTGCATGGAAGGGGACCAGGAAGAACACTGTTGCACGTGGCACAAGTGTCCACATACATGTACCATTTACAGGATCAGTGGGCACATCTACACATGAGCATTTACTGCGCAGTAACCAAAATAACTGCGCAGTATAGGCGCACATCTACACGTACATCATGCAGGTATCAAATTTATGCCCAATTAGTTACTGAGTAGTAATGCACATGTAGGCACCTTACTGCGCAGTAACACTGTATGTGTGGATTGACTTGGGACTAACTTTAGACTAACTAACTTGACTTGGGACTAACTTTAGACTAACTTTAGTCCCAAGTCAGTCCACACACAGTGTTAATGCTATTTAACATCTTCCTGTGTAGATGCTGGCCTATTCCTGGTTACTGCTCAGTAGTTTACTGCACAGTAAATTTAAGCTGATATAAATGCATGTGTAGACATGCTGAGTGACATCAGGTGATGAAACAAAGAATTCATTGTTTCAAATCCCTTTTTTGCATGTAAACAGTCTTCTGAGTTTAATATACTATGTGTGATCTTACATGTGCACATGCTTGCTGTCTCTAACATTGTGTTTAGTATCTAACACTTGACACTGTTTTTATTTTTTTTAATTTATATAATCTTAACTCATCTTTTAATAATTCTTTTGAACATCATCTTGCAATTTGTCAGTCAAGCTGAAAAGTTCCTATGAGAAAATGATCCTTTAGGAAATTAAAAAGGTTTCAAGTGGTAGAAAGTTTTCTTGTATGTTTTAGGATGAAGATAGTTGGGGATCTCTCCTCTGATTTGGAGAGCTTTGGGTCAATAAAAAGGTTTTTATTAACACTTTGTTCCTCATAATATTGGAAAACTTTAGGCTTGTGCTGCTTACCTATCAGAAAGGTTTGTTTGTTGTTGTCTGAACTGATGTCTGTAATGCTGGGTTTCAACTCCAGGTCTCAAGCAAGAAGCTTAGTATTTGTTTGGTGGTTTCCTTTGCATAAGGAAATCTTGCAGCTGAGAAAGTGAGTTTCCGAATAAATTGAGGAATGACAAAAGTAATCCTAAAATTTCTTTTGAATCCTAACAACCTTTCTCCTCTATCTGCAAAGAACTAGATGGATTATTAGGTAGTTATCCTCTTTCTAAAAGCATTTGCAAAATGATTTTGGTGTTACCTCTCTCGCATGTACATATCTTAAAGTCATTGCATACTTCACTGAATAGATAAAAAGTAAAGGGTAAAATGGGATAATCACATGATTCTGGAGAAGTAATGCAAGTAGTGTGTTCACTGCATCCTGCATGGTTTGGTGTGGCAGTTTGTTTATAAATAAAAAGCCTATGTTGTATGTTTTGAGCTGTTAGTGAACGTGAACCTTTTTATCACATCGCGTACAGGTTCTTCAGTGCAGTCATAATTTTGATCCTACTGTATAGCCCTAGTCTAGCAAAGCATGTTCTTAGCAGTCAACATGCAAGTGCCATTGAAGTCTAAATGCTCCATTTGAAGTCTATGAGACTAATCATGTGATTACGCTCCTGTCCAGTGGAGCTCTTTACCAGATGCTTTTAAGCATGTAAGGTCATTGTTTTTGAGCAAAGCTCTTAAGCAGATGTTTAATTTAAAGTACACACATAATCCCATTGACATGCATCCTTAAAATGTAGTAAGTCCATATGTTCTTTGCTGTATTAGAAGTATTATGCTGTGTTGTATTGGGACCTAACTGCAGGTACCTGGGCGGGGCTACAGTGATAACATCTTAAATGGATTTGATCAGTCTACACAATAAAAGGTCTATTTCACAAATTGAAATCAAAATAAAATACACCTGAGGATACATTTACCTCCACAGGTAAATATTATAGTTTTTAACAGCTTTATTTGCTTAAGATAACACAACAAGATAGAATTGTTTTGTCAATATCCCATGTTTTTGCATTCTTTGCTTGTATTCTTTTACTGCATCAAAATATCAAGCTAGTTTATTATTTTAGCTCCTCTTTAGATGTTTTGCAAATGTAACTATGTTTTTTCTTTACTAAGTGCAGACAATTGGGCTGCTAATGGCATGGTTTACCAATAATTTTCTGTTGGCCTGTATGTATTTCAAATTAAACTTAATTCCTTAATAAAATGCATGGAAATAGGACACTGTCCCGATGAAGTATAAAAGCTGATTATTTTATGAATAAGAGAGTATTTTTTTCCTACAGCAGATGTGATCATCAGATTCCATGAATATGGTAGTTTATAGTAGTTTCTTGTTAAATGCTTTCATTTTGTGGCTTTTGCCTATACTCAACTGGGACAAAATATGTAGCCAGTTTTTACAAGACTACCAAAATATAAACCATGTCATTGCAGCATCTTATTTTTTAAAGTAGTATTGTTTTCCTCCTTTTTTCATCTTTATTATTGCTGTAGCAACTTTATTTGTTTAATATGTCAAGCACTGAACAGATATGATGGCCAGGTATAGACATTACACTTTGACTGGTATAAGTGATTGGAAACTGGTATACAGTATACCTGTAACGGAACAGAAACTCAGCACACAAAACTGGTCTAACATAAGTTTGGCACACATGGACTGATTTAAAAATGAAGGCACCCGGTTCAAGATTTGTACCCCACCCCGCTCCCCCGGGGTGAATATGTGTTCTGTTCACTACCAATCTGAATTATACCTGCTTACAGAAAACTGCATAGCCTAGTTCAATTCTGCCTTGAGCTTTTTGAATGTCTGTACCTAGCAAATGTGGGCAATCTGGTTAACAAGGATCCTAGTTTTCTCTGATTTAAAAAAAAAAATCCTAAATTTTCTGATTAAAAAAATAACCAAAAATCCACATTTTTCCATTATTGCAATGGAATATATTAGTGCTGTTTCATAGATACAATATTGGTGGTGTTTCATTTTCATGAGTCTCATGTGCTAGGCCTTGAACCAGCTTTGCTTAGCTGCAACAGCTGCCGCCTCCTGCCAGGGGCAGGAGTTATGTACCTGGGTCCCTGGCCCCATAGCCCTGGTAGCTGGGGGCCCTTCAGCAGGGGTAGGGAGCAGGAGCTGTAGGTGGGAGGCAAGGGGCACCAGCAGGGCTGGGAGGACTGTGGGAGTGGGAGCGAGGGGCACGAGTAGGGTCAGGGGGCTGTGGTGGCGGGGAGTGAGGGGCACAAGCAGGGCTGAGGGAGGGTGAGGGGCACCAGCAGGGCTGAGGGGGTATGATGAGGGGGAGTGATAGGCACCAGCAGGGAGGTTATGGGGGTGGGCTTTCATTTTAATCATGGATTTGGAGGGGTTTATTAGAGAATTTGTGACTTTTTATCAGAGGATATGCAATTTTTTATCAGGGAAAACCAGGATCCCTGGTAATAAGCCCATATGCAAGACAAATTGAATAGCTCTTTGTCCATATTCTAATTTTGCTTGGACAATGGAAGCTTTGTATTTTGGCATAGGTACAAGATGCTTGAATGCTCTGTACTTGAAACAGATCCATATATTTAGGCACTTAAGTGTGTTTTTAACAGTCTAACTTTAGGTGTCTGTCTTTTGAAAATCTTTGACATTGGAGTTTGATCCCCTCTTGACTCTCTTAATAGTTGTGATTCCTGGTATTTAATATGAAAAACATTTGCTGGTTACTATTAACCAAATAACCTCCTTAGTGTCTGATCCATTATATACTAGAGTGCATAAAAGGCAGGATTTATTTTTGCGTGCATACAGATCTGCTACTGAAGGAGGAGTTTGTTTAAAATACTGCTGTCAAGAAAAATCTGACCTTGTCAAGGTTAGGCATATGCTTTTCCTCATATCAGTCTAAGGTTCTCCTAACCCTGCTAGCCACAAACCAAAATCTTGACATATCCAAGGGCAGCATAACATAAAACTCTGTGACAAGCAAATGCCCAAGGATCAGTGTGTGCAGTGCCCCAGCTCAGATAACAATTTGCCATTAAATAAGTTAGAATAAATAACAAAGAAGAACTGAAGAAAAGCTTTTATTTAATTTTGACTCTTTCTTCAGGAACTGTATTTAAACTGCCCCAGAAACATAGGAGGCTTGCAAGCTATGATTTGCCTTCCCTCTTTGAGGTCTAAAACGTCTCTAAAACATCTATGGTTCAGGTGTATTTTACAGCACTATTAGATACCAGCCAGTGTGACTGCAGTTTAGTAAACTGTTCGGGAGTTGTAGCTCTCAATGTTTATCCAGAATTTTTGACAGAAAGCAGTACACCAACATGTCATTTTCCTTTGCTTGAATGATCAAGGAAGACTTAATACAAATCAGTCCTTTTATGGTTGGAACTATGTTTGCAGATAATGTATCTGATGTTTTACTTCTGTGCATTGTGCTGTTAACCACAGTTGTTTTTGAGTTGCACACATTTTACTGCGGCTGGCTGGTTGGCAATTTTCCCGCAGCTGGTTGGCATGTTGGCTGTTAACAGCCTCTGGTGCTCTGGAACCATCTTACAGTGAAATCCTTCCTTCCCATCTCTCTGAGAACACCTTTGTTACAGGCGGGAGTTCCTAAGAAGAAAAATTGTATTGTGTGGTCCCTGGTGCACAACAATAATTTGGAGATTTTCATTCAACTTAATGTAAACCATTTCACCCTATTTCAGTTCACTTTAAACTGGTTCCACTATATATCTAAGCATCTGGGTGGCTTATGCTATCAGTATTGCTTAGATTGTTGCATCCTAATTTCACTTGCACGTCTTTGCAAAACCTTTTCTTCTTTTTTTTCTTTAATTATATTTCCTTTCTTGCTGCACTCTTTTTTTTTTGTTTTGTATTGTAGGATCGGGATACTCACCCCTAGAAGATGATGAAGATGTGTATGCACACAATAGATATAAAGGTGAATGCTTTGCTTATGTGCTTATGAGGATCAGCTGATTGCTGGGAGAGCTTCTCTCTTTCCATCCTGTCTTAAAGTGATCCAGCTCCGTGTTTGTGTTCAAACTTTTTCTATCAAGATAAGCTTTTTATTTTTCTAACAATGGAAAATAAACCAAGCACTGTTCACCATCGTTTGCTTACCTGAGTAAGTTTCTGTTTTATTGCCTTCTTCACCTTTGAAAGGTCAAGCTGCTAGCTTATGAGAATTAAAAACAAGCTTCTCTTTTTTCTCATTCATACATCAGAGTCAAACCATCAACAGTAACCATGTCCAGAATCTGGACTTGTTGATGTTAATGTATGGCAGCACTTGAAAGAAAGCTTGATTTTTTTCCATAAGCTTTTCCTAAACTAATGCTCATTTTGGGTTCACATAGCAACCTGAAATGAAGAGTAAAGTGTGTTAACTAATGAACATGCAAATCATTAAGCAAATGATGCAGCCCCAGTAATTAAATAATGAAATTCAACAAGTTAAGAAATAACATTCAGATTTTCTTTCTGATTCCAAACAAGTTAATTGGCCATAGAATTGATAGAAAATATTTTTTCACCATTGGTAAACCACATGAGTTGTATCTCATTTCCTAAAATATGGTTCTATTGTAGCTGGCAAATGATTTTTATTGTCAATTTAGTTGGCTGCTATGGTTTTGTTAGCAAACTAGTCCCTGAACAGGTAAGATATTCAGGCAACCAAAAATATTTCTATAACTTTGTGTAACATTGATACCATTCAGAGAATAAAACAGATTTTTTTTAAAAAAGTTATTTATGAGCAGCAAAAAAGAAGGCACAAAATACTAAGAACGTATTATGCTTTATAAATTATTTATAAGCACCCCTCACAAATTTGTACTCCAGTGTGAAGATTCCTGCAGATAAGTGGTCAAAATGTGGACTCTAAGAAATTTCTTTTGTAAAGTGATCCAGAACAAATTCTTTTAATGGCAGCAGAGATTTATCTGTGGTAAGTGAAACACAGTGGCTTATTCACCCAGCTGTTAATAAGTGCATTGAATTTTTAAGCTGTGCTGCCAGCTGTAAGAGTTTAGACACCTCTGATCCAAAAATCTAAGGTATGAAGCTGAGAAGACCTGTACTGCATTGGCATGCTTACATTTATTTGAGTTCACAAGTTTGCTCACAAAAAAAAGGGATGGACTTGAGTTGCCAGATTCAGATCAAAACTTACCCTAAATACGAGGTTATTCATATCTACAGGTTTGGTTACTGCCTATCTTGTGTTGCAAAGATTTTTGGATTAATAAATATGCTCGCTGTTATGCATGCATCTACACTAGTACATGCATAACATGGTTTGGAGTGTATGTACACATACAAAGCTGTGTATACTCTGCAACTTTTCAGCTCACAAGGGTGCTTGCTTGCTTGCTAAGGGCCACATGCCAAACCTTTCATGATTACTTGGAAGTTTTTCAACCAGCTTAGACCACCAAGGAAAAATCCCTGCTGCTTTAGTTTCCCAGAACACAACTAAGGATTCCTTCTCTCTCTGATCAACCCTCTGTTCAACTGCCTAATCCAACAGTGAACCCTGCTGTGGAGCATCATTTTTTCATGCTGCTCTTATAGGAAACAGCCTAAAACCCGTGTTTGTAGAGGACTGCCAGGCACTTTGGTCAGTACCACTGTCAACTGACCACAGTTGCCATTTACATTATTTTTTCAAATTGCCTAAATTGTAAAAATAATAGCAACACCCAACTCTTGTGTAATGCTTTTTATCCATAGATCTGAAAGTACATTTATAAATAATGTTTAATTTCACTAATTGTCATGTTTTAGGTGGGAAAACTGAGGCATAAATAGATCGAAGCGATTTGCTAAGAGTGGCAGAGCTGGGAATAAAACCTGGATTGCCTGGTTCCCAATAGTCTACTGGGCTACAGTGCCTCTCAAGTGGTAGTATATTTGTAGTAACTTTGAGCTAAATCTGTGTGCTCAACTAACAGCCCATAAGCTAAATCTGGCCCGTGGATATGTTATGCAGCCTGTGAGGCTCCTTTTGGGTCTGGAATTTCGCCAGCAGGGGAGCAATGGGAGATGGGGGCAATGACTCTCAGAGCCGCAGCAATTAACGCTGCTACTGCTCCTTCACTGCCAATTTATGGACCTGTGAGGAGCCCTGTGGCCTAGATGACATGGTGCATCACACTGGCATGTTTGGGCCATAGGTGGAGTCACTCTGTGACCAGATTTAGTACACCCTGTCACACCCGCAGAAACATCCTATGTGCTTACCCCATGCTGGATCAGGCCCACAGACTGACCCTGCATGCAGGATCCAACTTCTGGATTAGCCTCATACCACTCATCCAGCCTGTAGGACTGGATAGGTTGAGTGCCATGAGGCTAAACCCTTCCTCATCCTCAGCATAAACCCCTTCTAAGTTGAGCTCAGTCTAGTTCTGTTATGTCCAATGTGGAGAACCATATTCACAGAGCTCACAGGTTATAGCCATCCCCTACACACTAGGCAGGCAGGCCTCAGATGGTTGCTGCATGCCACTGTGCACCAGAAGCATGAGGTGGAGCCATGGAAAAGTCTGGGAGGACTGAAGTTTGTTTTTGTCTATTTTTACCACGTGCAGTTTGCTAATTATATATAATATTTTGCAATTCTCTCCTTTTTTTAATGCAAGTTTCCTCTTTTACCTTATTTCATCTCTACACCTGTGAATTTGCATGAATATACCAACTTTTTTCTAAAAGGTGTATTCCTCAGGTATATTCAGTCACTTTCCATTGACAGTCTCATTCAATACATTTATTTTCAAAGCCAGCTAAATAGATTTATGTAAGGAAAAAATTAATCCCAGAGAAAGAAGTCAGATATATTTCCCTCCACTTGCCAAAAGAAGATTTTCACAAGCAGTGAAGCCACAAACATGCTCTGATTCTAACCATCTCATAAATCTGTTGCACAGTTTGACAGCCCAGAGGCATATTGATGGACTCATGTACCAGGCCATTTAGCTCCTAGTTAGGGTTAAACCTTACCCATTTGTAATGAGGGGCTAGTACCAGGGCTGGATTAACACATAGGCAAACTAAACACATGCCTATGGCCCTGAGCTGCGGAGGGTCCTGGTCCTTCCCTCCGCGGCTGCGGCATGAATGGCCCCATCCACCTCTCTTCCCTTTCCTTCCCCTCCCCTCTGCCAGCCTCACCACCACAGCGGCTGCTTCCTAGCAGCAGTTCTGAGCCCTGCTCCACACATGCAGCAGCACCAGGGTAGGGAAGCAGTCTCAACCAGCCCAGGGCCCACAAGTTTGTTTACCTGGGGCCCACTAAAGGGTTAATCCAGCCGAGGCTGCTGCTCCAGGTGCAGAGCAGCAGCAGAGCTGCTGAGAGCCACAATTACAATTATGACAGATGGGGGCAATGACTCCCAGAGCCACAGCAATTAATGCTGCCATTGCTCTCTCACTGCCAAGTTTCTGGGCCCATGTGGAACCCCATGGGCTGGATGGTAGTTTGAGGCTTTTGCATCTTTCCAGATTGGGACTGGGAAAGTAGCAGAACATTAGCGTAATGACTTGCCCTCTGAGTCCTTGCATTGGCCCCTAGTCACTGCTGTTTGAGGGATGAAGGAGGGAACACAGAGAATACTTTGGTTTGTCCAGGGTCTGTTCTCACCTGCAAAAAAATGGAAGGAAAGCTGAGATAAGGGGTCTTCATTGGTGATAGTGGATGGAGATCAGATTGCTCTTTTGCTTCTGTGCCGGTGGTATGGGGTGCCAAAGTCTTTTATATTTATTGTTGTGCTACCTCTCTCTTGGGGTCTCGGTACCTGCATTCCTCAGTTTAATTTGGATAACACTGAGCATTGGTAAATTTGAGCCATTGTCCAATGATACAGTCTCTTTAGCAAAGTAGCTTAGGCCATGTGGAGGCATTCTGAAAGTTTGTTCTTTTCTTGTTTGTCTAACCAAGGAGAAGAGCTTGACCAGGAATTCTTAGGTGAGCTCACGGAGGTAGTGAAGTCAAAGGATGTGGTAGTCAT